AGTTTGAAAGCTCCTTTCTTCATTCAGGATATCTCAGAGAGGTAAACTGCTGATAGGAGGGAGAAGATGCCTGTGGAAGAGACTAATGTTGTAATAGGATCAGGCAGTTGTGTCTTAACATGCTGTGGTTACAATGCATGGAATCTCTTAGACAAATGTAAATGACAGCTGCCTTGACAACTGTCAAAATCTCTTCTGACAGCTGGGAAACAAATACGAAACTGCAGGAAACAGATGCAATCAACCTGCTTGCCTGTATGCAGCCTGCACAAATCCCTTCAAATGACAAATGTTCAGCAGAAAGGAGCACCTGAAATTCTAATAAATCAGATTGGTAATGGGAGCTGGGCTCTTACTGTTTATTTGAAATCCATGAGCTTGAAGTGTAATGAGAAAATGAGGATGATTAAATCGCACCTTTGCAAATTCGGCTCCTTTGTGACATAACAGTGGGCACGGAGATGCTTGTGCCATAATGCTGGTCTGTCTTATAGCAGATGTCAAAATCAATACACACAGGAGAAGGACCTCACTCTTTAGTTTGAAGCTCATTAAGGCAGACAACCAGAAACCTGAGTGTATACTGTGCCTTTTATGTACACAGTTGCGGTCATTAGGAGGAGAAAAGAGGGAATGTGTGTTGTTTTAATTTCACGTTATTCAAAGACCACAATGGAAACACGCGCGCACATCCGTCAGGCGGGACGAGCCTCTTCTGGAGTGCGATTTCAGGCCCCGCAGCTGAAGCCTTCTGCTCTCAATGGGGCACTGGGTGTTCTCCCGTCTTTCATTTTGTGTGGGAATCAACCGGTCTCCAGCTCCCACATTGATGCTGCCACGTTCATGGCCACTCATTTTATTGTTATTTTGAGACCCATAAACCGATCATTAATTCTTTGTTCTGCGTGGGGAGCAGGGACTCCCCTGACCTTCACGATTGAGGAATAAACGCCCTTTCACAACCTCCTGCAGTGTGGACTTGAGATGAGTGAAATACGATACTGTTGGATGAGCTGTGGCTCTACTATTCTGTTCTCATAATAATGAATGATTCTGCTTCCAGACATCACGACATTTACGCAAGTGTGCTTAGAGCGTGTTACGGCTGAGCTAACGATGAAGCTAGAGTCTGGACAGGAGCTGGGATTATGGTTGAGGTTAGTAGGATCATGTATCTGTCTTTTGGAACAATACTCATAAACAATCAGAAAAGCTGTGAAGGTGTTTTGCAGACCAAGACCAGTGTGGGTACAAATTACTTTTAAGAAGTAATCCAGTACAGTTACAAGTTACTTGTGAAAAGGACCCCATTTTTTAATTAAAAGGAAGTCTGGGAAAATAATGCGTTCATTTTTAAAGCAATTTTTCATCCACAACATAGATCACTGTTACTGATCATGCTTTAAAATGACCCCCCCGCCCACAGCATCTCATTCAGTTTGAAAAAGTAATCCCTTGCATAAGTGACTTATAATCACAATGGATTACTTTTTTAAAAGGACTCAGTAAAACTGAGTAGACCCCTCATAAAATCAGGCGACAGCCACAGCCCCCTGCACAAAACCAGAGGGGCACCCAACTCTGGCCGCACGTCGGCTCGCCTGCAAGAGGGGGGTGCCCACTGCCCCCCACCTCTGTCTCCCCCATTGTCACCTGTTGCCCTCTGCGCACCTCCTCTTTCCTGCTCCCAGTGCCTGAATCTCTCAGCCATCCCAGATGCAGATTAATTAGCCTAGTAAATTAGAACAAGTCACCCAGCCCTTGTCATTTATGTGTGTATGTATTTATTTTTATTATTTATTTTATATTTATTTTGTAGAATTTTCCGTCTATTCTGATGTCTGTTTTTGCTCGTCTTGGGCAGGCCTGCTGTAACACATCAATTTCCCTTCGGGATCAATAAGGTCTTATCTATCTATCTATTTACGTGGATTTTATTATGTCACAAACAGAGCAGGGCAGATAAATGGCTGGCTCGTGTGTTTGAATTTCATGCGAGTGCAGAGGGTGGGAAATATCAGGCAGTAAAATGAAACAACAGTGGGGCCATCATTTTTCCAGCCTAATTGATCTAATTTTATTCTACAAATTAATTGGCCGGAAAATGTCTAATTGCTCCAGTGCATATCATAAAAAGTGGGTCAGTACTCCTGGACAGCCCAAGGCCATGTTTCACCATCCAAGCTTTGCATGAAGTCAATGCTCTATGATTCTGGCTGCCGGCCCAGTCTTGCACTGACCTACAAAGAGATACATTTGTGGAATCAGTTTCCTTAAGGTTCATTTTTTATTTCATATGCAGCGGAGTCAATTTTCTCTCGCTGTCGCGGAGAAATAAATAATTCCCCGGCGGAGGAAGAGGGAGAAAGCTGGTTTTGGTCTGGGAACAAATGCTAATTTAATCAATCTGCTATAAATCTGACTGGATGCTGACTCATGCATGTCTGCTGCCCCGCGGGGACTTGAACAAAACCCTGTTCCCGCAATTTGTTACTTCCGAATTTAAAGCCCACTCTGCCCGCCAGCACTCCGCACAGCTCCCTCCCCGACGCACACACTCACACCTGCAGACTGGCAGTGCTTTCTGTGATCTGCAGGAGCGAGATGCTGAGACTGCGCCTCCGGAACAAAAGGATATTGTGCTCCATTCCCTTGATTTGCACTGAGCGAATTTCCCAGTGTGTGTGCGTACAGTACGTGTGTGTTTGACATCCGTCTCAACATCATGAACAGACTTCACTGACTATCACGATTTCCTAATAGGCTGTTGACAATGCTAACGTTTTTAGTGCTTAAAAAAAAACAAACAAGTTGGTGCCGTGGGTATGGGGAGCGACTCAGCCAGTACTGAGCAGAATAAAGTCTGGTAAAGCTGATCACAGGCTGTATAGGGGAGCCTTGCTTTCCCTTGCAGTAGATTGTCTGCTATTGTCGTTATATGAAATCTGTTTGGAAAACCTCTCCGTCCTGTAGTGCAGATGCTATTATGTGTGATTCTTGGAAAACAAATTCTGCACTTTGGTCCCAGAATCCTGTTTTTTTCCTGTTTCTTCCTTGTGGGACCCCAGTGCGGAGCTCCAAGATTTCTGCCCGAACAGAGCACAAAATCGACGGAGTTTGTAAACAGACCCTCAGCAGGAGGTCAGGCTCGAATCTCGCCCATGTCCACTCTGCTCACCTCCCGAACACAACTCTCTCACAACTTTCTCGCGCCCCTCCTCCACCCTGTCTCCACCCCTGCAGCGGCTCCCTGGCTCGTTCCTCAGGAAGAGAGGGGGGATCCTGTCAGTCTGGACAGGCAGGTGAGCTACTCCAAACATGCTCGCTACATGCCACCCCTGCAATTTCAATTAGAGTTCGATAGCACTGGTGATTATGGGATTCAGGTCCCAAATCAGTGTTTTTGTTTATCAGACAAGCTTCTGTGGAGGCAGTGGTTACCGAGACACAGGAGTCTTTCAAAAAAAGAGCTTCAAAGGGGATCGTCTTATGACTTTCTGACATCAAATTTATACAATTTGAAGATTTCTCTTACTTTTTTCACACAAGGAAACTGTCATGGGACACTGTCCCACACGAAGACAAGCATCGCACAGACACACTGCATAGTTTCTCTGTTCCACCTGAGTCCTTAGGTTCAAAAGCCAAGTGAATAAACAGCTAAACTAAAGCCTTTCAGTAGAACGTCCTTCAGATCCTACTGATCCTCACTTTATCTGTAACCAGCGTTAACCCTGACATAGCCTCAGGACTCCACTAGCACGGGTTACATAACCAGGATACACAGCATTGGTAGAATGAATACAGTAGTCATTGTAACCACTTTACTTTCTTTGACTCAAGAAGCAGATGAATTATGATCTTAGGGGTCAAAGCTAATGGTGTTGCTACTGTCTGCTGTCTGAGCTAGAGGGCTTTGAGCTGTTTGCTCTACATTCAGCAAATGGTTCCATCTGACAAATGTGTTATAGGCAAAAACGGCTCTGTCTGTATCAGTGAGTCCGAATGTCTGTTTGGATTAAATGGTGCTTATGAAGATGACATATTATGACAGGAAAGCACTAGCAGGAGTGATCACACCTCTTTTTCGAAAAGGGGAGGGTGGTCGTACTTCATCGGAGGCAAAGTGCTCTGGGGCTGTAAATAAGAGAGTGATGTCATGTCTGGCAATTGCTGATCCATCATACCCCTCTTCCCGGAGGCTCGTTCCAAAATAGGCCCCTCCGATGAGGCCCAGCCCCTCCGAGCTCAGACAGTACCGCCGCTGTCCCCAGCGCGCGGTACAGTTCCAGTCGGCCGCCGTCCCTGCAGGCCTGCAAAACCTGGGACCGGGGACGGCCGCAGTCAGCGGGCTTCCTGCACCGCCAGCCTCTCAACACCCGAAAGAGGGCTAAACTGAACAGATCAGCGGACGGGTGGTGGGGAAGTAGCTCAGTGGGTTCCAAATGCGTGGCAGCAAACTTGGCAACCCTGGGGTGTATGAACAACCATTTAGCACGGGTGTGGGTTTGCACAATTAATCATCCTCCAGCGTCTGAGGGCAGACACAAAGCACAAACACCCATCAGCCCTCCATTTGCGTGGAGCAGTGAGTTTCTGGGCTGATCTCATCCAGAGCAGGGCAGCAGAAACTACAGGTGCCATCTGGGCACTAGCTGGAGGCCTTTGCTTCGTGAGCAGGGGAGAAACCAGACCCGGAACACGGCCGTTTCCCACTAAACACGCCCACCTCTCTGGGGAAGTGGGGGCTGGCGTTTCTGAAGTCTGGGGCGCACTGCTGCACTTCCGCACTTCGTTTGAGGACGGGCTCCCTGGCTTCCTCCGGGGGGGGGAGAAACGTAGCTTTTATGATGGAGTGGGTTGAATTTTCAACGAGCTGCGACTGACAGCGCCGCCCGCCAGAAACTCGGGTCAGCAGATAACCGCTGCAGCGCTCATCACAAAACTGCCTCTTGGCAATTGTGTTCATCTCTGAGCTGAAATATTTAATAACGCCTCAGATCCGTCTTCCCCAGGCAGCGGCAGGCATCGTTTATACACTCTTTTCACGTGGCCCACACTGCCTCCCTCTGTTACATTGGCCAAACAGTATCTGGCCTAAGCAGGCGGGTTCCAGCTTAGGCAAAGGGAGAAGCCTTCACTCTGGGTTTGCTGTCTTCTATACTACACACAGTTACCCAGTGCTGAACCATGATGTGGATTCCACCCAGCAGATACGCAGAATACAATCGTTTGGGAAGAAAAACACTTAATAAAATCATGAATGGAGACCATTTGTAATTTGGAAATGATCATTCTCAATGAGTTTATCCTTTCTCAGTTAATGGGAAATTAAGAAGGTTCATAGTGTACACTGTGCCGCTGGCCCTGTTTTTAAATCACTGTAAGGCTGGAACTGAAGACAGCGAATGCAATGAGGCAGGAGTACAGCAGATGTCTTTCAGGCATCTTATGCACAGCTGTCTTTCTGACTGGTCTGTGTCAGCTGATCAGATCAAAAGACTCAGGAAGAGCCACAGGTGGGAACTGGACCTTGCGGCATCAGAAACCACCACCCCCAACTTGTGTCACTCCGCTAAGAGCGGAGAAAATAATCCAGATCCCCGCTGAGGGCCGGATCGCGGGTTTGTCTTAACACAGATGCAGCTCCTGCGCGTCTGAAACACCACAGAAGCATTTTTTCTCACGGGAGGTGTGGGACGCCGACAGAAACACTCCAAAGAGCAGCAGTGTCAAAAACAGTAACGTTAGCTGTGAGCTGAGCCAGGCCTCTGAAACACATCTCAGTGGCCAAGCCAGGTGCAGTAAGAGGGGCACAAGCGAAGAACGTCCGTGCTGTGTCCTGTAAGCAGAATATGGCACTAATCTCACGGGCAGACTCACTGTCTCTGTCCAATCCTTCAGAACGGCCGAGGACAGTAATTGTCATTCACATCTCATTTCAAGCAACAAATCATCTGACGTGCTTTGAGCATGCAAAAAGAATATGAAAAATAAAGCATGATGCCCTTGCGATAAATTGGCCAGACAAGACGTACTTGGTCACCTCCTTCCTTAATTGTCCCAGATAGGAAATTTGCTTTGCAGGCAAGTAAGAGGTAACACAACACATGAGACATTTAGCACAACATGAACCCATTAACAAATAAGAAACATCCAGGTATAAATCTGTCATTAGAGAGATGGGGGTTCCAAGGCAGGGGGTTTAGGGTTGGAGGGCAAATACTGCACGCATGTCTAACAATCAAATGTGAAGTTTGGTTTTCCAAAACCAAATATCAAACTAATCCATTCTCATGGAGCAGCCCGTGATGTGGTTATAAGATAGCAGCTCAGGGTCTTGAAACACCTCCTGATCGCAGAACGTCTACCGTCTTCAGGGTGATGACAAGCAACCAAACGACAAGTCATTGTTTCTGACCCAACAGCCATCTCGCCTCCTGCCCTCACGGGCTCTCAGCGGCTGGCAGCACCCCCTGCTGGAGCTGGGAAGGGGGACCTGCGAGGGATTTGGAGAGAAGAAGCTGGCAGCAGGCCCTGACTGACTGTGCCGAGTCATGCTGACATCAGCAGCCGGCGCAATGATTACATTATTGATGATCTGTTCCGGGTGCTGAGAGCACAGCCCTGCCAAGGGATCAGCAGGCCGGGGACGTGACCCGTCTTTCTCGTCAGCGTTGCCGCCTCCCGCCTGCAGGTTTCGGGACTCACGACCACGACATCATCAGGAGAAGATCTCCTGCGATTTGTGCGTGATGCCCGGAGATGATTAGGCTGGGACAAATATCCCAGCAACCAGCGCAGATGGGCTCTGAGGCACAGGCTGGGCCTCGGGACATGTCTTCACGTCTGCGCACAAACGCAGGGGCAGGAGAATAGCTGTCCGATGGGCCGGAGGCTCGGCTTGTTTCTCACCATGTCTCTCTGTTTTGATTTGTGTTTTATTATAGTAAACAACACGATGGCGGCATTCTTCACGTGTTACAGTATAACACCCCAAACATTTTTTCCATCTGAAAGTGAATTCGAAGCCTGGAGGTGTTGGCTCTGGCCTTCTCGCCTTGCAGAATTATCCACAACATCTTCTGATCGCTAGCTTAGGAGAAGACAGCAGGGTGTGATTAGAGCATAGTGTCTCTGCCCAGTGTTTGCCAGTGAGTCCCCTTGTAGAGTCATCGAGCTCTGGTCATGGTTATGCTCTTAACAAGCAATGATACAGAGAAGAGAGGTTGTGTTACTCACTGTGTACACAAATCCAGCAGATAATCACACACCACTTCACGAGTGAGTCAGGTTCTGTGAATCTGTGTATTGCCTACACTCCCTAAGTAAAAAGAGAGCAGTCCCATTATTAGACCACACTCCCAGCGACAGGCTTAGACAGCGAGTGCACAGACCTATTTAAAGGACAGGGACTTTCCAGGAGGCTCGGGGAAGATCCTTCTGCAGCGTTTAAAGGGAAAAGTTAAATCACCAGAATTCCCTGCCCTCGTTCTTAAGGTAAACAGTTTCACTTCAATTGTGTGGTTCTGGGACATTCCATGTTACTTTCCCCTTTGTTTTATTATTGGAATTCCATCTTTAAGTATGGAGAATTGTTTTACTTTTCCTTTTGTTTTATTATGGGAATACCTTCCTAAGGACAAGGAATGGTTTTTCAGTTTGAACTTTCAGAGGCCCTCTATTGCTTAAAAGGATGCCCATTAAATTCCTCTATCTAGGTCAGCAAACACGTTTTTGTGGTCCACCAGCTCTCCCATTTTTACCTGCCTGGGAATCTGTCTGAGCTATTAGTTATTTTAGCCCAGCCTCTCTATCAGAGAGACTGTTTGCTTCTGTACCTGTATACTGTAGCTTGAAATAGCTCTGCCACACAGGCCTATCTCTTACCCAGACCTGTCAGGTTCCAGCGTTTCCATGGAGACAGAGGATTGTCATGGCAACAGTAGCGGATGCGAAAGAGGAAAAAAAAAATTCAATGGGAAAGTCAGAGGATGGCAGTGTCTTTTCTCATTAAACGATAAAGAAACCGCAGCACCTTAATCTTGACTCCATGGCCGTTTTATCAGCAAGAAATCATTCTGCTTTCCTGGGAATAAATCACACAGTAGTGGCAGTCAATTTGGTAGTCTAATGTTGGTTGTCAATTAATACTGATGCCTGAACTCAATAAGGTCTATCCCGAAATGGGTTCGGTAAATGATAACTTGCAAACAACTCCAGTCTTGTTGAATTTTTTTCTCTCTTCTCATTTCCTTTCAGAATAAACAAGGTGCCTCGATAAGCCGTTATCAAAGGGGACTAAATCGACTTCAGAATCCCGAATAAGTGACTTTAATCTCGTGAAACAGTGAAAAGGGGGGAGTTTCTAGAACACTGCAAGCACAGTTTAAAAGGTGTCTCCAGCCTGTGGGGACGACCCGGCAGGAATAATGAAGAGGGGGCCATCAGTAATGTCTGTCGCTTCACAGTGAACACCACCTCCAGGCACCTAAGGGTGCAGCCTGTGTTACAAAGGAGGTGATAGAATTACCGTAGAATTATTACAAATGATATGCACATGGCTGTAGGTACAGTCAATGACACAGATACAGATATCATGTTTTGTTCAAATCAAAGCATGGTACTGTTAAATCCCAAAAGCACATTTAAAGCACAACAATGTTTTGTTGTCATAATCTCTTAATACATTGTGGGCCTGTATTATCTCAACATCAGTTGTGTATACTAAAATGTTTTTGCTAGGACCACCACTACATTCTATTCAAAATCCTAGAGTGTCTTTCAGACGCACAAAAATCAATCAAACGATGTTCTGTTTTCCTTGTGTTACAGGCCGCGCTCGCTTCATTTAGCCTCTTGTTAAAATGACATTGATCCAGGATTCGCCCGAGTGAATTTTATTTTTTTTTCTGATCACCATTAAAGTCTGCTAAAAAGGGAATTAAGCCTACCGAACTCATAAGGTCAGGTCCCACCCATGCCTAATATGTTAACGAGGTCAGGGGGAAGGTTAAGAAAACACAGGGCAGGTTTTATTAAGTTTAAAAACACGGAGCTACTGAAGGATGTTATTGCAGTGAGTAATGGCTTCTATAGAACTTTATGGTGCTTGGGCTATTAGCAAGATTAGCTTCAGGGCAGCAGCGTTTTTTCTAGGCATACAGGCGTATATTTTGGCTGCAAAAAAATGATACGAGTGCGAATGTGTAACATTAGTCAACTTGTCATTGATCACATTGGTTCATTCACATATCTCTATTATATACTGAAACGCTTTAGAAAAGTACCGTGTATTGTAGTCCCTGAATATTAATCATGCAATGCATACTGACTAATGTGC